ACTCTCAATGCTTTCCTGCTGAAGATCTGCTCAGAGTTTGCTGGTCTTCCCCATATCCCTGTCTCTCAGTGTGAGATGTTCCTCCTGGCTGTATCTAGTCAGCCATCTTGGGTCTCGTCCTACTTTCTTTCAGACTAAGCCTTTAGTCTTTTCAAAATCTGTTAATAAAAATATTTGTGCATTTATATTTGTCAAAATATATGTATTCTAATTTATTATTTATTTCTATTCATCCATTCATTTATTCACACAAGACTTCTTTTTGAAGCTTGCTTAGATTTACCTTCTTACACAATTTTAATTTTTAATTATTATAGTAATTGCATATATGTATAAAGTACACATGATATTTTGATACAAACATGCAATGTGTAGTAAGAGTAGTTGGGATATCTATCACCTCAACCATTTATCATTTCTTTTTTTTTTTTTTTTTTGAGACAGAGTCTCGCTCTGTCGCCCAGGCTGGAGTGCAGTGGCCGGATCTCAGCTCACTGCAAGCTCCGCCTCCCGGGTTTACGCCATTCTCCTGCCTCAGCCTCCCGAGTAGCTGGGACTACAGGCACCCGCCACCTCGCCCGGCTAGTTTTTTGTATTTTTTAGTAGAGATGGGGTTTCACCGGGTTAGCCAGGATGGTCTCGATCTCCTGACCTCGTGATCCGCCCATCTCGGCCTCCCAAAGTGCTGGGATTACAGGCTTGAGCCACCGTGCCCGGCCCATTTCTTTATTTTGGGAAAATTATAATTCCACTCTTTTAGTTATTTTGGAATATACAGTAAATTATTAACTGTAGTTGCCCTATTGTACTATCAAACAATAGATATTATTCCTCTTAATGGGTACTGAGTTCATGTACCCATTAACCTTTGCCTCTTCATCTCCCCACTTCCCACTACTCTTCTCAGCCTATTCTCTGTCTCCATGAGTTCAATTTCTTTTTTTTCAGCTCCCATACGTGTATTCACTCAGGATTTATTGATTGCCCAATTTGATGGATAGAGTTGCCTACAGATTCTGGGAGTAAGAATAATGTAACTAGGAATTTTCTTGAGGTGCTTGCTTTTTGATATATATATGTGTGTATGTGTGTATATATATGTGTGTGTGTATATGTATATATGTGTGTGTGTGTGTGTATGTGTGTGTGTGTGTGTGTGTATATATATATATATGACTTCATCTTCTTGATAACAATGGGGAATTTTCAGTGACCACTTCATAATATTTCCCATGATACTGCAAGCTGAGCAATTTAAAGTTATTGGTGGACGTACAAGCTTTGTGAATAAAATAGTCACAAAGATTGTAAATATTTGAACTAACTTGAGAGTTGTAACCAAATAAAATGCTTATCAGAGCATGGTATCTGTGTTTAAAGATTCAGCTCAATTCAACAAACATTTACTGAATACTACCGTTTTGTTAGGGCTGAGGATATATAGCTATAAAAAAAAATAATGATGCTGCCTTTGAAAAACTTACTACCTGGGTGCAGGAAAAGAGTAGGAAGGAGGAGTAAGCCAGATCCTAGAGTTGAGAGGCAGTAATAAGGAGAAATGAAGTACCTTTGGGGTTTCTGCTTCTCCATGGAATGTCCTTGTGATAATAAATAAGAATTAAGGTAATACGTAGAAAGTCAGAGAAGTTTGAGGTCTTATAAGACACAAACACATAAATTCATATTATCAACTAAAGAGGAAATGGTGCTGGCTAGGACTATAGGGGTAACTCGTGACTAAGTAATAAATAATGTAGTCATGCTTGATAGAAGATGAAACTCAAGACCTCTGTTTAACTAACATACTTTACTGGCAACTAAGGAAAATGTATATGGCCTATAGGAGCCATTGGAGTAGGCTTTTCTCATGTCTCTCAATTTGGTATTTATCCTTCCATATCCTTCAGTACATTTTTTGCCTTAGTTTTAACCCTGAGATGAAATGAGTCATAGAGTCCAGCGTACAGAATTCCTTTTCAACTAGTTTGACTTTGGACAAGATATACAGCTTCTAAGATCCTTATACAAGTCATCTGTAAAAAAATGTGTATAATAGTTCTTACTTCAGGAGGTTTTTGAAAATATTTCAATGATTCATTAAAAACACTTAGCCTAGCGATTGTTCTGTATTGGATGATAAAGAGATGGTAAACCTGTTTGTTGTACCTTACTATGTCAGCTTTCTATAGATGAGATCTTTATTGTTCTTGCTTTGTTTTTTATTTATGCCTAGACTATTTACTTTTGTATTTTTAATATAAAAATGGTATTTTTAAAGCTACATTTGGCCAGTAAGTTTGGAAATATGCAATTACATTTACTTGCTATAATTTAACGGTTGCCATTGTTTCATAACTTGTAAAGAGTACAGTTGGCTAAATAGCCTTAGGTAGTGGTGTTCAACCCAGGTGGCATATTAGAATCATCTGGAAAGCTTTCAAAAATGTCCACGTTCAGGCACTACCCAAAGTCATTGAATCAGGATTTCTTGTTGTGGACCTAATTATTATCATTTTGCAACAGCTCTTCATCTCTGACGTGGCAATAATAACATCTACTCAGCTTGTCAGGGTAGATCTGATGATTACATTAAAATATATTCAAAAGCAATTGATAAACAGATAATTGAAATAAAAATGTAGGGTAATATTAAAACATTTTAGAAATACTTACCCTGGTCTTGAGGGGTTTAACATTTACTTACAGAAAAAGGTTAAAACATAAAATATTCAAGGTAACATGTCACACACTAAATGGAAGTAACAGAATAATTATGCTGGGAATCCCATCCTAATAATACTGTGTAGGCAATCCTTAATGTATATGAGGCTGTGACTTTGTCTAGTACTTCTCAAATATTTATACCTCAGTTTCCTTTAGTGATCAAAGAACAAGAACAATAACCTTATAGGGGCTGGAGAGGGTTACTAGGAGGGAAGTCTAATCTAGGATGGTTGTCTAAAACCACTTACCTCAAATGTTTGTTCATTCATCAAGTCATTCAACAAAATGTTTATTACCTAATATGTGCCTTCTGGACATTTTCTTTTTAAAGGCAATTTAGCAGCACGATAAAGTAGGGGTTAATAGTATAAATGCTGGAGTCAGAATATCTGGGTTTGAATTCTGGCTCCACAACTTTCTGATTGTCTTATGTTGGGTAAATTCTTAACTTCATTATGACTCAATATTCCTTTTTTTTTAAGAAGAAAGATAATATTGTTAATTACTTCCTAGGGTGGCAGAAAGAGGTTTAATGTATTAATAAGCATAAATTGATCCAAACTATGTGTGGCTAATAATAAGAAATAGGTGTGCTTTTGCTAACATCTCTGCATTTTTATTCCATTATATTCTTCATTCGTTGTAGTATGAACATAATGCTTTCAGTGTGAACATATGAAGATAATGCTTTAAGTTAGCTATCACCAAATGAAAATGGTGCTTAAAATAATGGATATATCCTCCTCCCAAGACATAGTCAAATATATGAATCTCAGTTTTCTTCAAGGCACCATCTTGTTTAAGATTGGTCATTTTTAGCATCATGGATTATCTAGAGGATGTTATGCTAAGTGAAATAAGTCACGCAGAGAAAGACAAATACTGTATGATCTCACTTACATTTTGAATCTAAAAGAGTTGAAATCGTAGAAGTAGAGAGTAGAATGGTGGTTACCAGAGGGTGGGGATGGGAGTGGACAGAGTGTACAAAGTTTCGGTTAGAAGAAACAGGTCTGGTCATCGATTGCACAACATGGTGACTATAGTTAATAATAGTGTATTGTATTTTTCAAAATAGCTAAGAGTGTATTTTAATTTTAATCTTTTTATTTTTTGAGACACGGTTTCGCCCTGTCACCCAGGCTGGACTCCAGTGGCATTAACATGACTCACTGCAACCTGAAGCTCCTGGGCTCAAGCAATCCTCCTGCCCCAGTCTCCAGAGTAACTGGGACTACGGGTGCATTACACCATGCCCGACTAAGAGTGGATTTTAAACATGCTCACCACATGGCATGCACCTGTAGTCCTAACTACTCATAAGACAGAGGCAGGAGGATAACTTGAACCTAGGAGGAAAGGGCTACAGTGAGCCCATATGGCACCACTGCGCTCAGCCTGGAAGAAAAAGTGAGACCCTGCCTCAAAAAAATAAAATAAAATAAAATAAAATAAATAAATAAATAAATAAATTTATCACAAAGAAATGATAAGTGTTTTGGGGGATGTATATGTAAAATAGCTTGATTTGATCATTTCATGATCTATACATGCATTAAAACATCATATTGTACCCATACATATATAATTATTATTTGTCAATTAAAAACAAAATAAAAATTTTTAAAAAGATTAGAAAGAAGATTAGAGACATAATCAGGGAAGTACAGAAAGCAATGAGTGCATGTATACCAGTGGGTTCTTGCCTAGTTTCCGGTCAGGAAAGAACTCTAGAAGAGTCGTGCTTACTATGTGACCAGAAAGATGAATAGAGTTAGTGATAAGCAGAGCTTGGAAAAAAGCTGTGGTGTGTAAATGAGTGGGTTGTGCGGAGACTGAGAGTGTTCCAGAGAGAGAGAACACACATGAAAAACTTGCTTGAAAACTGACGTTATCAGTGAACAAAGGGTCCAACACCACATGCATGTGGAGGTGCAGTATATACAGAAACTCTCAAGACTCTTAACACCCAGAACAGTGGGTTAGGGGCAGAACAAGAAATGGAGTTTCTGCGGGAACAGTGTTTACAGGTGATTGTAACATTATCGTTAATGCGAGGAGTACTAAGTCTTAAGGCAGTGCAGAACAGAAAGAAAACAGTTGTTCATAGGGGGTTTTAGTGAGAGGAAAAGGGAAGACTATTCAAGGCTCTTGAAGGAGTTGGTATTTGGCATGATTCTTAAAAGAGCAATAGGGTAAGACCTGTAGCTTGTAGAGCCAGGTCAAGGCTTTACTATTGTCCTTAACTGTGTGCTGACCTTGCCTTATTTGTTCAGCTAGGACTGTGTCTAAGCAGAGCCTCCGCATCTGTTCTTAACCTCAACTGCAGCCTTATCCTTTTACCCATGTGCCGAATACTCTTGGCTTTCCTCCGAGGATCACAGAAGGTAAGAAAAAACAGTCCTAGTTACAAATTCCAGCATAAAAATCAAGCGTAACAGTTGCATATTAGTTTGTTTAGTTTTCATAGTCTGACTTTTGGCCGGAGTGATTTCTTCTAAGATGATGGTAAAAGCCATGTCACCTGTCAAGTTGATCTGTGAATTATTCTGCAACACCAGATAAGGGCAGATGATAATCGTAATATTATTAACAGGTATTTCCAGCACTATGCTTAGTATTTCACATACACGCTGGCAAATACTTACAGGGATTCTGGAATCAGGTATTGTTAGTTTCATTTCACACACAAGAAACCTCAGGCATAGAGGCTTTGAGTAACTTCGAGACTAGTGAATGGCAGAGCTAAGGTCAATCCTAATTTGAGTTCTTTCCATTATGTCATGTCTCACTGAGATTCTGTATTTTCACTTAGCTAAATCTAGGTGAGCAAACTAGAGTCTTTTGGATTCTGAGCAATACACAAAATGATTGCTGGTGTTGGCAACAACTTATCTCTGCTTAACACACGTAGTCATTCTGAAGCGTGTAATAGGCTTGAGAAACATGTCTTGATTAAATAGTGATGTCATTTGTTATATGTAGTGTTGTAAAATGAAGTATGTAAGAAAACAGGAAAACACTTAGTCATTCTGCTAAAACTCAACAAAACTTCTTTTTTGTCTTTGTCTGTGTTTGTGTATATGTGTGACTGTGTGTGTATGCATCTTGATTCTTCTTCTGTAAGATTCACTAAGCAAGGCACCACTGGATAGATAATGATATTTTAAAAGGAGTTGTTAACTTGAGACCACTTTGATGTTCTATGAATTTAATATATGCAGATTTACTCTAGGAAAACTTCTCAACCCTTTCTACGTAATTATATTTAGAAACTCTTTCCTTTTAATGCAGTAATCTGTGAAAATAACTCTACGTTGCCTACCATTTAAACTGCTAAGTTTTGATCCCTGTGGTTGGCTACTGGCTTGGCTTGGAGAAAGAGAAGATAAGTGGCAGGGAATGACAAGTTCCCACCTAAGTCCCTCAGTATTAAATAATTCTTAAAGATTTGCCCCGAGTGTGAAACAGTCATTCAAAGGTGCTTGACATTTTAATTTGTTATAAGATCAAGCAGGCATTTCAAACTATAGATGAGATTGCTTCATTTTAAAATAATCTTATTTTTTGACTACAAAAGTAAATCATATAGATTTCCAAACTTAAACATTCCAGAAATATGCAAAATGATCAGAGAAAGTTTACTCTCATTTTATTCTGCCAGAACAACCACTAATGACAATTTGTGGAAAGTGCCTGCAGATACACTAACATATAATACCATTAATGTTGATCAATATAAGATCACTGTGTAGTTTATGTTTTGTAACTGTTTTTTACCTAACAATGTGTCTTAAACATCTTTCCATATCAATTATATAGCCTTCTCACATTTATTTTTAATGGTTTAGGTTTTCCATTAACTGGATGGATCCTAATTCATCTCACCAATTTTTGATTAATAGGCTTCTGACATATTTTAAAAATTTTGACATAATGAACAATGCTATCCTGAAGAATTTTTATCACATTTGTTGCATTATTTTTATCATAGTAAATGATTTTTGTTTAGGTTCCAAGCAGGAGAACCAGGAGATTGTTGGATAAAAGCAGAACATTCCATATTACCTGTGGTGTTACTATCTGTATTTTCTCAGGTGAGAAAGCCAAAGTTATTAAATAATTTGTTATAATTACACATTTAAAATGTAAACATTCCAGACATATGCAGAATTATCAGAGAAAGTTTTCCCTAATCATATTCTTCCGGAACAACCAGTGATGACAATTTGGGGTAACTGCCTGCAGACATATTAACATATAATGCCATTAATGTTGAACAATGTAAGATCGTAGCGTGGTTTGTGTTTTAAACCACACGTAAAATTATACATGGAAAATGTGTGATTTTATTGTTCTGTACATTATCTACTGTCAGCAACTTAATATTTTCTTATTAAATAGCTTAGCAGTTCTTTCCATGTTTTTAAAAAGGGCTGTCTATGGGGAACTACAGAAAATGGATGTGTGTTATGATTTTTACATTATGATATCCAAAAGCTGGCCCCCAAACTGATAATGACTATTTCCTGAAAGTAAGTAATTTCACTTAGAAATACTGGAAGAAACAGACTAAAAGTTTTCAGGTCTGAAAGTGATGATATGATATGAGTTTAAATGCATGAACCCTCTATTTTATTTGTTTATTTTTTTTGAAACAGGGTCTGACACTGTTGACCAGGCTGGAGTGCAGTGGTACAACCTTGGCTCACTGCAACCTCCACTTCCCAGGCTCAAGCCATCTTCCCAACTCAGCCTCCCGAGTAGCTGGGACTACAGGCATGTGCCACCACGTCTGGCTAATTTTTGTATTTTTTGCAGAGGCGGGCTTTCACCATGTTGCCCAGGCTGGTCTCGAACTTCTGAGCTCAAGCAATTTGCCTGCCTCAGCCTCCCAAAGCACTGTGATTATAGGCAGGAGCCACCATGCCTGGCCAAATGAATGAAAATTAGAATGTGAAATACTCATTAGTAGATTAGGATTCCATCCCAAATTATATGTGATTGATGTTTCTTTGGTATTAATATTTGGTAGACAAACAAATGTCAAAATTTGCGAAGCTTTATCCTGCTCTTTTCTAAATTAAAAAATAAAGCAATGATCTTTGTATTATTATAAATCCTTTTAAAATACATTTTGATCCTGAGCTTTTAGATGATACTTTTCAAATTTTTGGAACAGAAAGTAAGAAACATAGTGATGAAGTACATGGACTCTGAGGAGTCCATGCATAGGTTCTATCCCCAGCTGCCCTTCTGTTTTAATGTGTGATGTTACTTCTCTGATCCTCAACTTTTTATTATTATTATTATTATTATTATACTTTATGTTCTAGGGTACATGTGCACAATGTGCAGGTTTGTTACATATGTATACATGTGCCTTGTTGGTGTGCTGCACCAATTAACTCGTCATTTACATTAGGTATATCTCCTAATGCTATCCCTCCCCTCTCCCCCAACTCCACAACAGGTCCCGGTGTGTGATGTTCCCCTTCCTGTGTCCGGGCGATCTCATTGTTCAATTCCCACCTATGAGTGAGAACATGCAGTGTTTGGTTTTCTGTTTTTGCGATAGTTTGCTGAGAATGATGGTTTCCAGCTACATCCATGTCCCTGCAAAGGACACAAACTCATCCTTCTTTATGGCTGTATAGTATTCCACGGTATATATGTGCCACATTTTCTTAATCCAGTCTGTCAGTGATGGACATTTGGGTTGGTTGCAAGTCTTTGCTATTGTGAATAGTGCTACAATAATCATACATGTGCATGTGTCTTTATAGCAGCATGATTTATAATCCTTAGGGTATATCCCCAGTAATGGGATGGCTGGGTCAAATGGTATTTCTAGTTCTAGATCCTTGAGGAATTGCCACACTGTCTTCCACAATGGTTGAACTAGTTTACAGTCCCACTAACAGTGTAAAAGTGTTCCTATTTCTCCACATCCTCTCCAGCACCTGTTGTTTCCTGACTTTTTAATGATTGCCATTCTAACTTGTGTGAGATGATATCTCATTGTGGTTTTGATTTGTATTTCTCTGATGGCGAGTGATGATGAGCATTTTTTCATGTGTCTATTGGCTGCATAAATGTCTTCTTTTGAGAAGTGTCTGTTCATATCCTTTGCCCACTTTTTGATGGGTTGTTTGTTTTTTTCTTGTAAGTTTGATTGAGTTCTTTGTAGGTTCTGGATATTAGCCTTTTGTCAGATGAGTAGATTGCAAAATTTTTCTCCCATTCTGTAGGTTGCCTGTTCACTGTGGTGGTAGTCTCTCTTTTGCTGTGCAGAAGTTCTTTAGTTTAATTAGATCCCATTTGTCAATTTTGGCTTTTGTTGCCATTGTTTTTGGTATTTTAGACATGAAGTCCTTGCCCATGTCTATGTCCTGAATGGTATTGCCTAGGTTTTCTTCTAGGGTTTTTATGGTATTAGGTCTAACATTTAAGTCTCTAATCCATCTTGAATTAATTTTTGTATAAGGAGTAAGGAAGGGATACAGTTTCAACTTTATACATATGGCTAGGCAGTTTTCCCAGCACCATTGATTAAATAGGGAATCCTTTCCCCATTTCTTGTTTTTGTCAGGTTTGTCAAAGATCAGATGGTTGTAGATGTATGGTATTATTTCTGAGGGCTCTGTTCTGTTCCATTGGTCTATATCTCTGTTTAGGTATCAGTACCATGCTGTTTTGGTTACTGTAGCCTTGTAGTATAGTTTGAAGTCAGGTAGCATGATGCCTCCAGCTTTGTTCTTTTGACTTAGGATTGTCTTGGCAATGCGGGCTCTTTTTTGGTTTCACATGGACTTTAAAGTAGTTTTTTTCCAATTCTGTGAAGAAAGTCATTGGTAGCTTAATGGGGATGGCATTGAATCTATAAATTACCTTGGGCAGTATGGCCATTTTCCCAACATCGATTCCTCCTATCCATAAGCATGGAATCCTCTTCCACTTGTTTGTGAATTCTTTTATTTCACTGAGCAGTGGTTTGTAGTTCTCCTTGAAGAGGTCCTTCACATCCCTTGTAAGTTGGATTCCTAGGTATTTTATTCTCTTTGAAGCGATTGTGAATGGGAGTTCGTTCATGATTTGGCTCTCTGTCTGTTATTGGTGTATAAGAATGTGTGTGATTTTTGCACATTGATTTTGTATCCTGAGACTTTGCTGAAGTTGCTTATCAGCTTGAGGAGATTTTGGGCTGAGACAATGGGGTTTTCTAAATATACAATCATGTCATCTGCAAACAGGGACAATTTGACTTCTTCCTTTCCTAACTGAATCCCCTTGATTTCTTTCTCTTGCCTGATTGCCCTAGCCAGAACTTCCAACACTGTGTTGAATAGGAATGGTGAGAGAGGGCATCAGTCTTGTGCCAGTTTTTAAGGGGACTGCTTCCAGTTTTTGCCTATTCAGTTTGATATTGGCTGTGGGTTTGTCAAAAATAGCTCTTATTATTTTGAGATACGTTCCATTAATACCGAATTTATTGAGAGTTTTTAGCATGAAGGGCTGTTGAATTTTGTCAAAGACCTTTTTTGCATCTATTGAGATAATCATGTGGTTTTTGTCTTTGGTTCTGCTTATATGCTGGATTACATTTATTGATTTGAGTATGTTGAACCAGCCTTGCATCCCAGGAATGAAGTCTACTTGATCATGGTGGATAAGCTTTTTGATGTGCTACTGGAATCGGTTGGACAGTATTTTATTGAGGATTTTTGCATTGATGTTCATCAGGGATATTGGCCTAAATTCTCTTTTTTGTTGTGTCTCTGCCAGATATAGTATCAGGATGATGTTGGCCTCATAAAATGAGTTAGGGAGGATTCCCTCTTTTTTTGTTGATTGGAATAGTTTCGGAAGGAATGGTACGTGCTCCTCCTTGTACCTCTGGTAGAGTTCAGCTGTGAATCTGTCCGGTCCTGCACTTTTTTTGATTGGTAGGCTATTAATTATTGACTGAATTTCAGAGCCTCTTATTGATCTATTTAGGAATTCAACTTCTTCCTGGTTTAGTCTTGGGAGAGTGTATTTGTCCAGGAATTCATCTATTTCTTCTAGATTTTCTAGTTTGTTTGCATAGAGGTGTTTATATTATTCTCTGATGGTAGTTTGTATTTCTGTGGGATCGGTGGTGATATCCCCTTTATCATTTTTATTGCATCTATTTGAATCTTCTTCTTTTCTTCTTTATTAGTCTTGCTAGCGGTCTATCAATTTTGTTGATCTTTAAAAAGAAACAGCTCCTGCATTCATTGATTTTTTTGAAGGGTTTTTTGTGTCTCCGTCTCCTTCAGTTCTGCTCTGATCTTAGTTATTTCTTGCCTTCTGCTAGCTTTTGAATGTGTTTGCTCTTGCTTCTCTAGTTCTTTTAATTGTGATGTTAGGGTGTCAATTTTAGATCTTTCCTACTTTCTCTTGTATCCATTTAGTGCTATAAATTTCTCTCTGCAAACTACTTTAATTGTGTCCCAGAGATTCTGGTATGTTGTGTCTTTGTTCTCATTGGTTTCAAAGAACATCTTTATTTCTGCCTTCATTTCGTTGTGTACCCAGTAGTCACTCAGGAGCAGGTTATTCAGTTTCCATGTAGTTGAGCGGTTTTGACTGAATTTCTTAGTCCTGAGTTTTAGTTTGATTGCAGTGTGGTCTGAGAGACAGTTTGTTATAATTTCTGTTCTTTTACATTTGCTAAGGAGTGCTTTACTTCCAACTATGTGGTAAGTTTTGGAATAAGTGTGACGTGGTGCTGAGAAGAATGTATATTCTGTTGATTTGGGGTAGAGAGTTCTGTAGATGTCTCTTAGGTCCGCTTGGTGCAGTTGAGTTCAATTCCTGTTAACTTTCTGTCTTGTTGATCTGTCTCGTGTTGACAGTGGGGTATTAAAGTCTCCCATTATTATTGTGTGGGAGTCTAAGTCTCTTTGTAAGTCTCTAAGGACTTGCTTTATGAATCTGGGTTCTCCTGTATTGGGTGCATATATATTTAGGATAGTTAGCTCTTCCTGTTGAATTGATCCCTTTACCACTATGTAATGGCCTTCTTTGTCTCTTTTGATCTTTGTTGGTTTAAAGTCTGTTTTATCAGAGACTAGGATTGCAATCCCTGCCGTTTTGATTGACAACAGGACTTACCTCACAGATTTAAGACTAAAATGAGAAAATGAATAGAAATTCTTAGGATAGAATTAGTAATTGTAATATATAATTGCAAGGGTTAATTATTTCAGAGGCATAGCACCTGGTATTTTCACCTGACCATTATTTGATGACATAGCTGTTTTGATAGTAGGGCCATTTTGACTCAGGAATGTTTTGATACAAGTATTGCCAAGCAATTATTATACTTTTAGCTTTGTAAAAAATTGCCAAGCATTGTCAAAACAGGTAATTTCATTATTTTATCTCTGAATTTCTTCCAATTGATGGTTCCACCTCTGCAGGTGATAGGTGGAGAGAGGTTGAGGGATAGGATTAGTACTTTAGTGAGGGTGAGATAAGGACCGAGGGTGTAGAAAGGGTTAGAGATAGATTAGGGAGAGGGAAAGTGAAAGGTCAGAAATGGAGGAGGATCAGGAAACCAGCGTATTAATGACTTGATTTGTTCTAAACTGTCATCATGTCCAAGTATTCTGGTTCTACTGGAGAGCAACCAAGCGACTGAGATAGCATGAACTTGTATTACAGAGGATTTGCATTCTGTCAGTCACTAGTGGTCTGACTTTCGCTATATTACCCTTCTTTACTTCAGATTTCTTATCTGTAAAATAGGGATGACTCTACTTACCATATTGTTTCATTTTGAGAATAAAATGAGAAAATCTGTGCAAAGTGCTTGGGCTAGCTGCTTCCTTGCTGCCTAAAATTAGAAGCCCCAAATTCTTTTGACCTAAGAGGTCCTTTAAAAAGGTGAATATATCCCTTAATGATGTATTTTCTATAGCTGTTACCTGTGACTTTTTTTTTCCAGAGAAATTCAGAAAGGATAGTAATTCTTCTACAGATGACTTTGCATTTTGTAACCATAGAGTATGTAGTTAATATATAAACTTTTAATTTAATATCAAAGGATTATTTTACTATACATTTGGGTATTGATGAAGCTATATGACATGGAGAGTTTAGTTTAAATAATATTTTATACCTGTGCCATTGTTGTGTCACACCTAAACATCCTTTGTTTTACTTCTTTGGAAACTTGTCCTTGCTTGTTACTTAACTCATTTTAGCTTCCTGTCCATTTTTTTTTCTCTTAAAATTTTTTTAAAGACAATTTTTCTGTAGGGCAGATTTAGGTTCACAGCAAAATTGAGAGGAATATACAGAGAGTTTTCATATATCATTTGTCCTCATGCATGTATAGCCTCCCCCATTATCAACATCCCGTGCCAGAGTGGTACAATTTTTTACAAACTTACATTATAAACTTACATGATAAACTTACATTAATTGACATATCATTATATCCTAAAGTTCATACTTTACATCAGTGTTCATACTTGATGCTATACATTCTATGGGTTTGTACAAATGTGTAATGACCTGTACCCACCATTATTGTATCATGCAGAATAGTTCATTGCCCTAAAAATCCTCTGTGCTCTGCCTCTTTGTGACCCTCCTTTCCCATTAACCCCAGACAACCACTGATTTTCTTTTTTACTGCCTCTGTAATTCTGCCTTTTCTAGAATGTAATATAGTTGGACTCATGCAATATGTAGCCTTTTCAGATGGGGTTCTTTCACTTAGTAATATGAATTTAAGTTTCCTTTGTGTCTTTTCATGGCTTGAGAGTTCATCTTTTTATAGTGGTAAATAATATTCCCTTGTCTGGATGTACCACAGTTTTTTAATCTATTCTCCTATTGAAGGACATCTTGGTTGCTTCCAGATTTTGGCAATAATGAATAAAGCTACTGTAAACTTTAATGTGCATGTTTCTGTGTGGACATAGGTTTTTAGTTCCTTTGGGTAAATATCCAAGAGTGTGATTGCGAGATCATGGGATAAGAGTACGTGTAGTTTTTAAGAAACCACCAAACTCACTTCCAATGTTGTTGTGCCATTTTTTGCATCCCCCACCTACAGTGAATGAGAGTCTGTTGCTGTGCAATCTCACCAATATTTGGTGTTGTCAGTATTCTGGATTTTGGTCATTCTAATAGATACGTAGTGGTTACTCATCATTTTAATTTGCGTTTCTCTGATGGTATATAATGTGGATCATCTTTTCATATGCTTGTTTGCCATCTGTATATTTTCTTTGGTGAGGTATCTATTAAGATCTTTGGCCCATTTTTTAAATTGGGTTGTTTGTTTTCTTGTTATTGAATTTTAAGTGTTCTTTATATATTTTTATAGTAATCCTTTATCGATATGTCTTTTGCAAATGCTTTTTCCCAGTCTGTGGCTTATCTTCTCATGGTGTTCACACCGTCTTTTGCAGAGTTGAAACTTTAATTTTAAGGAAGTCCAGCTTACTAATTCTTTCATTTATCATGTCTCTGACATTGTGTCTAAAAAGCCATCACCAAACCCAAAGTCGTATAGACATTTTTCCTGTGTTTCCTTTGAGGAGTTTTATAGTTTTGCATTTTACATTTGGGTCTGTGATTCATTTTGAGTTAATTTTTGTGAAGAGTGTAAAGTCTATGTCTATATTTATTTATTTAAATGTGAACTCTTCCTTGTTTCGGCTCCATTTGTGACAAAGGCATTTTCTTCTTTGTATTGCTTTTGCTGTTTTGCCAAAGATAAATGGACTGTATTAGTGTGGGTGGATTTCTGGGCTCTCTATTCTGTTTAATTAATCTATTTTTCTTTTCTTTTGCTAATACCATACATTCTTAATTACTATAACTTCGTAATAAGTCCGGACTCTTCCTCTACCTGTAACTTGATTACTTGAAGGACCTTATAAATCCTTTAAATAAACTTTTAGGCGTTTTAACATTCTAGTCCTCTCTCACTTTCATTTTTTTGTGAGTAACTTAGAACTCTAAGCCCTCTATATCTCATATTATGGGTTGTAGGAAATTATGGAGTTTCCTAGATTCCAGGTATGTCTTCTTTTGAATCATTGTACTACACATATTGTGAACTGTAATGGTTTACTAAGCAATATCAGATCACTTATCTCATTAAGCCTTTCGCTTCTGTCACCATAATTTTACAGAGAAGTAAATTAAAGCCCCTGAAAGGCAAATAATATGGCCAAGATCACAAATTTTCCAGCGAGTTACCTGTTGTGCTTTTCAATACATTAAAATGTGGTGTTAATTCACACCTTATTTTGCTTACAAGCAAAGCTTGAGCAAGGGGGAAGGCGTGATGGGCCCGTGCACATCTCACTTTTCCTTCCTTACCCAGCCTCCTCAAGATAATTTTTGTTACCCTAGCTTTGCCAAAATGAGTTCATTTTCACATCTCTAGTAATTTCCCTAACACCGCTATTATTTCTGTGAGCTCTGAGTCAGCTGAGCACTTTGTTTACTGTGATTATTGTTTTCCTGAATTTTGTCCCATAAAGTGATTCCCAACACTTTTTCTGTTGGGTTAAGAATACTATGATTTAAATCTGTGGATTGTGAAAAATTTCCACTAGTTGAAAGTCTTTCAGTGGCCTATAATTTACCTTATGGGGTAGGAAAGTATGCAAGATACATATTAATAGCAGATTTGGAACTATGGAAGAGGTGAAAGATTTGGAATACCTAAAATATCAGGGAGGTGCTCAAGTAAATAAATAAATACCCATATCATTAGATGCATATTTATGTAAGAGTGTGTGTATGTGTGTTAGGGGGAGGATGGGTGTGTGTGTGTGTTAGGGGGAGGATGGGTGTGTGTGTGTGTGTTAGGGGGAGGATATGTGTGTGTGTGTGTTAGGGGGAGGATGGGTGTGTGTGTGTGTTAGGGGGAGGATGTGTGTGTGTGTTAGGGGGAGGATGTGTGTGTCTGTGTGTGATGGGGGAGGATGTGTGTGTGTGTGTGTGTTAGGGGGAGGATGTGTGTGTGTGTGTGTTAGAGGGAGGATGTGTGTGTGTGTGTGTGTTAGGGGGAGGATGTGTTTGTGTGTGTGTGTGTGTGTGTGTCTCTTATCCCTGACTTACTAGGGTTGTTTCATTACAGCCTTTGAACATTTGGTAAACTATCTATAGTTAAGTTTTTTGTGTCTTTAAAACTTCACCTTTCCATGTAATATTTCATTACCCATATAGCTGTCAAAGTTTGACCCTGTATTTACTGAGGGGGAGGAAGAACTGAGTCCTTGACATGGAGCATATATGAAAATCCCACTAACTTGCTCCTGGTGTGATTCTGTAGGCGTGCATGTGGCTGCCCATCTGGTGAATGCCCTCAACTTCTCAGTGAATTACAGTGAAGATTTTGTTGAACTGAATGCAGCAAGATACCGAAATGAGGTGGGTGGTCTCTGTCTTCCCATTTTCCTTTCACTTGTCATGAGATGACTAATGAGGGTCTGTGATTTTTCCCTGAATATTTGTACCTTACTGCTCCTTTTGAGTGCTTTTAAAATGCAGTTGTCAAATTGAGCTTTATTCCTTTTCAATAGAAAATATAAGTAATTACTATTTCATAGTCTCTCCTGCTGAAAGTGGGAGTTATGTCTACTTTTTTATTCTGCAATGTTCAAATGGTTGCCACTCAGGTCTGCCTCTGACTCCCAGCAGCTTTTGTCTAATTCCTATCATTCAGTTGAGAGTGTCGACAGTGCCATTACAGGGTAAAAATACTTTATAACTCACATACTAGGTTTTGGGGAAAAGGAAATAAAAGTAGATTGATTATTTGTGAATCCTGGATAAATCAATTTATTTTACTTAAAAACAATGTTAGTGAGTTTTCATGATTCATTCATTTAAAAACATTCCTCGAATTAGGTGATGTTAAATTCAATTCTGTAGCAGGCAATATCTGACATAGTGCTTTTCTCCATGTGAAGCCATCCATGAAATGAAATTATATGTGCAAGGTGCAGGCCAGAGCTTGATGAACAGCACATGCTCAACCAGTTAGGTCTCTGTTGGTTGATGCTCTCATACAGTCCTCAGGCTGCCTTTGCTTCACAATGCGAAGACTACATCAAAAACAAACTGTTTTGTGCCATTTAATCAGCATCCCCCCCCCCCCAATTTTCTTGTTCTGCAGACTAAGTTTGGTAGTGATTTATTAAAATTTTTTCTCATCTTCCCCACTCCTTTTTCTCCTCCACATATCACCAGAGTTTTCTAGGTTTAATACTGTTGTGATCATGTGCTTGATCTCCCCCTCAAAACAAAACTAATGAAAAAATAACAACAAATACAGAAACAAATCGCAAAACCAAAATAGCCAGCAACCTTTGATATAGCCCTTGTCTCTACTGGTATTTAAAAAAAATACCAACATGATCTAATTGGTCTTGGTTGGGAGACAGGCACTGATAATTTGTAAAAGTTTCCCAGGCTTGTAGAGTGCATCCAGCACTGAGAACCACTGAAAAATTCCAGCTCCTTAGCAGGCCAGTGACGGCTCTTCACATGTAATTATTTCACACCCAGCCTCCACTTCTCCCGATCTCACTCCCACCTGCTTCCCTTTCTCCTGCTGCCCGCTGCTCAAATCACTAGCTACTTGTTTTCTGCCTCTGTTACAACATTTTCTTTGCTTCTTTTTCTTCTTTTCTTTTCTTTTCAGAATTCATGTCTTTAATAACTTTAATGGTTTTCTCATTTTAATGGAATAAACTTTGCTTAAGTTCCAATATTTTTAGTGATTTCAAGGTTTTCAGTTATTAAATTTATTTTCTTTGAAAAGTTATACATGCTCAATATAAAATATTTTAAAACTCTCAAGTAAACAAAGTTAAAAGTGAAAGCTTCTCCTCCAAAACAAGCCACAGTGTATTACATTTTTTTCTGATATTTTGAGTGACATTTTATGGTATATATTCCTTGGCAATTTACTTGTCTCCATAAATATACTTTTATAGCTTATTGTATCAAAATATCTTGATCTATCTCATTCTCTCCATATGACTATGCCATAATTTATTTTTAGTCTTTTTCTTATTCAGATATTTAGATTGATTCTAAGTTTTTGTTATGAACCACACTCCAATAAATGTATTTCTTTGTCCACTTCTACACAGATCTGTAGTTGTAGAATTTTGGTTTAAAGGGTTGCACATTTTTAGTTTTGATGGACAGTGCCAAATTTCTTTCTAAAAAGTCTTCTCCTTTTTTCACACTTCTAACTAATATTAGAATGCCTATTTCTACAACTCATCTCTGTTGTTTTTTTCCAATCTGATGGTTGAAAATGGCAACTCATTGTTTTAAGTTAGTATTTCCCCTGCCTTTATTTCTTCTTGTATTCCTTCTTTCGTGTCTCTCTTTTTGTTTTTCTCCCTCTTTTTAATAAATATGTATTTAGCATCTAACAGGTACAAGGCAATGCATTAGATGTAGATGAAAATAAGTGTGTGTATATATATACACACACATATTTAAATGTATACATAATATATATGGCATATCTATTATATATAGATTGTATATTACATATTGCTGTATTGATAATTGATTATATATATTTTATATATATATGTATGTATATAAAATCAACACATACGTTATTTTGTGAACCGCTTTTGAAAAAGATGGTTTTGTGCCATATGCCCGATTGTTCTTGTTTTATGCTTTTACTCTGCATGGAAGGACTCACCCTCCAGCTTGTGACTGCTGCCCTTTCTTGATAGCCCAGCTAAATCTGCCTCACCTTGCCACTGTGAAAACATCTCTCACTCTCATGTTTCCTTTTCTTTCTCTAGCAATATTAATTGTTCCATCTTCTGGGTTTCCATAGGTATTTATTCACATTTCTATTCTTATGACTTTGTTCAGCCCATATTATATTTTTATGGGTTGTTTATACATTCAGTTTTCTTAGATCACCCTATAGCCATGTTTCTCATAGTTGGAATAGAAGTCAATTGAATTAAGCCAGGTGAGGAGCTATTCCTAGGCAAGTGGTCCTTATTCAAAGACCCCCAAATGACACTATATAAATTGTTTCCTTCTTAGTACATAGTCTGGCCTGACCCCTGATTCAATGGAGGCACAAAGAAAGGAATTCAAAAGCTTGTGAAATATTAAGCACCATGGGGATAAAAAATAAATTCACAAATCTAGTAGGGATTGGTTTTCCAGAAGGTAGAAGGGTGTTGACTATAACACATTAGAGCATAAGAGATGTAGTTTAAAGGAAATCATACAATATTATAACAATATTAATGTTTCATATTTCCAAGTAGCAGAAACTGATCTTTGTTTATCCTCACCACTTTTCACTATTTTTGAAACATAGAAAGCTCCCAATTAGTCTTCTTTGTATTGAGCTTACAATGTGCAAATCGCCTACATATTTTATTGGTTTTAATTCTATCTTCACATCTTGTGATGCAATTTCACAGTTTTGGTGAACAGAGTATATAATAATACCTTAACATCATGGCTAAGATATTGAGCTCAAAATGGTTAAAGGTAGGCTTAAAAATCAGTGCCACTAGCTTGTAGGTAACCATTAATAATAATTTCTAGGCCTTTTGAGTCATCCAGTATTTTGCCTCAGTTGGATAGATTTCTGTGAATTGGGTTTTTGCTTGTTGTAATCTCCTCTAGCATTGTGAAAATGTTATGAAACTTAATCGAGTCTTTCTCTCTTCCATTGGATAAACAGTATTTTACATGACAAATATATGGCTTGTAGATACTGCATACTCTTTATAGAGTTATATGTCATCAGTGCTTTAGTTTTTAATCACTTATTTTTTTTTCTTTTTCTCAGGATCCTAGAAAACTTCTCTTCACAACTGGTAAGTTGTTATTCTTAGCCTTTTCTTTAGATTTGGGAACATCTTTAAAAGTAGACATTATCGGGCTGGGCACGTTGGCTCATGCCTGTAATCCCTGCACTTTGGGAGGCCAAGGTGGGCGGATCACCTGAGGTCAGGAGCTCTAAATCAGCCTGATCAACATGATGAAACCCCATCTCTACTAAAAATACAAAAAATTAGCCGGGTGTGGTGGGTGGCGGGTGCCTGTAATCCCAGCTACTTAGGAGGCTGAGGCAGGAGAATCACTTGAACCCAGGAGGCAGAAATTGCAGTTAGCTGAGATCACGCCACTGCACTCCAGCCTGAGCGTGACAGAGCGAGACTCCATCTCAAAAAAAAAAAAAAAAAAAGTTAGCCTTATCAAATTACATGACAATTAGATATATGTTACAAATATAACACATGAACAATTTGCATATAAGAATAAGTATTTGGAGCTAAAGGATAAGGTTGCAATGAGAACAGAGAGACAATGCAAACATTGGGGTGTGAATAAATGGAGATTAAAAATAAGCAAATACATTTCACTGTCATATAGTCTTCCTATCAAAACAAAATAACCGCATGCTTATTGAGGGCCTGCTTTGTGCCTGCTGCTGTGGCAAGTGCTGTAGGAGATAGTGCACGTTTAACAGGCTTCTGCCCTCAATGTATTGGAAAGGAAAAACAAGCACTATGGGTATCCATGGAGTTCTTATAATTCAGTCATTTAGTGCAACTTTTTATAATCTTAAAATCTACAACAAAGAGGAGAAACAGTCATTAAAATAAGTTCTTTCTTTGAAATATGTCTCCTATTTCATTTGTAATTTATTTTTCCTTTTCAAGCTTATTGTCCATGAAATCTCAGTCTAGACTAATAATCTGTTAAAGCACGTTTGAACATCTCAAAATTTCCCCTGATGTTAAACAATTTTTACTAAAATTCTTCTTTTTCCAAACCTTATATTTATAAAGATGAAAGAAGAAAGATGCATTTGGGGAATTTTTAGCACATATTTCAGGGCTAAGGATGATTGCAGAGTTGAGATGATCTATCATAAATTGTTGGCTGTAATACCCAATTAAGTATTAGAATTGCACATGGGACTGAGGCACATTACCCTGGCAAATGCATTGTTTTTCTTTTGAATCAATTTTATGATGAAAAATCGCAGTAATTCTAGTGCTTTCCCCATCCATGTCACAGCTATATGTTTGGATTTATAAGATACATTTTGCTTTTGTCTATAGATTTATAATACTTGCCACTCGCAATGTATTTCACAGTTTTCTCTTTAGAAACACAATTTAGTTTTGCTTATGACTTTGCTCATTGAAAACATGTTTTCATTTAGGCCTAAAGAATTGGATGAGGACACAAGTGCAGAAAAACAAAACCTTATGTATGAACCAATGTATTTTTTGGTTTACTGTTAATTTGTTTAAGAGAGAGAAAGAAAAACTTTGTTCAATATTATTTTCTGAAACATAAAGTTTAATTGAAGCCTTGGAACTTTTAAAATGCTTTGAAAAGTTTAGTTTACAAAGATACAAAATATTTGTTATGTGACTAAGATATCACATTAAGGCACTTAGTATAATTAATACTTCTTATAAGCAGATAATCTCACTACCTAGCATGCAACCCCATCATCCTATGTCCTTTCCCAGAGGTCCCCTTGAATGGTGTTGGACTTAGTAGAGAAGACACTTAATACAAATTTGCCAGGTCTACCTTAGTGTGTCTCTGGGAGAGACTTGGCAAAGTGTGTTACTAATCTTCTCAGGTATCTCGGGAGCTGCTGTCCTGTCACTACTGAACATCTCATCATACTCTTGAGCATACTATCTCGCTACTACCTGCCTTTTGTATTAGGTATTTATTGTAAGTAACCGAGAGATAATTTAAAGTATGTGACAGGGTGTGCACAGGTTATGTATAAATACTTGAGCATTTTCGAACTTTGGTATCTGTGAGGGGTCCTGGAACCAATCGCATGGATACTGAAGGATGACTGTAAAAATACTGTGTTGTAGAATAGTTTATTTCCTTACATATACTGTCTTTTCCACTTTTAGGTGAGCTTCTCTTGGGTTGGGGAGGGCTGCTTCTAGAGTATTCAGGGTCCTAGCTAAACATTTTTTTAATGGCCTCTGGCAATATAAACAATTTGACTCACCCAATTCAGCAAATTAGTACCATTTTGGTGGCCCACTCTCACATAATTTCAAGAAAGAAATACCATGCTGGCCGGCAGGAGGCATCCACTTCCCAGGTCATCAGCATAGAACTGGGCTCAGACACAGGGATCCCTAAGTGTAAATCTGGAGCTCCTAAGGCATTTGTTTGTCCCAACTGAAGAATAGCAGGTGAGAGTGCAAAGTAGAGTCTAAGGATGGTAATGGGATGAAAGACACCCTTTTCTATCAAGAACTTAATCTAACTTTGTATCACTAATACTGACTGAAACTATTCCACAGCCATCTCTGAATGTTCTCAGGCACAGCACCTAGGAAACATTAAGTTCCTGATGAAAGAAAGCATGTATGTTTTTAGGTGTTCTAGTGATAAAGAATATATATATAGAGAGAGACAGAGTCTCACCCTGTTGCCTGGGCTGGAGTGCAATGGCATGATCTCGGCTCACTGCAACCTCTGTCACCCGGGTTCAAGCGATTCTCCTGCCTCAGACTCCAAAGTAACTGGGATTACAAGTGCCCATCACCACACCTGGCTATTTTTTTGGACTTTTTTTTTTTGGTATAGGCGGGGTTTCACTATGTTGGCCAGGCTGGTCTTGAACTCCTGACCTCGTGATCTGCTCGCCTCAGCCTCCCAAAGTGCTCAGATTACAGGCGTAAGCCACTGCTCCCAGCTGATAAAGAATATTTTTATTAGTTAATAGATTTCATGGAGTTTAGTTTTTTTAATGTTATGTAGAGTCTTCTATCTCTGTGTGTTGAAATTTTTTTCATTGGAATCTAGTACTGACAAATTAAGATTGTCTTGTAGAAAATAAAGTCTTTGGCTGTACAAGTGACGTAAAGTATAGTGGCTAAACTTACTACATAAAAAATGTTAAAAACATTCCAATTAAGGATTTCTAAGGTAAGATTAATAGATTGAATTATTTAAACGTTCATTTAAAAATGCTTGCTACATATCTCCAAATTTGGTAGTACCTTTCATGGTGAGAATAAAATGGATAATATCTAATTTTAATTTTAAAAACCCTCATAAGCAAATATAATTATGTTTCCAATTATGTTAGGAAAATAGGATAATGAATAGATAATGGTATATTTCTGACCACACCTGGGTATGGATGAAAATAATCACTCAGGTTCATCTAGAAATTACAATGTCATGCAATTATTTATTTTAAAAGTGACTAATAAATTTAATATGCATAAATATAAAGCAATAAGAATAAACATGTACACATGTATTTTGCTAAGGAAACATGTATAGGTTTGGCTTCCTAACTTTGCCCAGTGAAATTAGACTAGCCCAGTGATTTCCAGCTGATGTTTTCAGACTCTTGGAATGTGTTGTAATAAGGCTAATGTATTGGGACTTAGCTGAGCTGTCAACCAACCCTAGCTTCGGGTGCCCTTTATTGTGCCCTGAGAGCACTCAGTGCTTAGCTCTCTTTGCAGCACTTAATGCCCTGTGTTGTAATTGCCTGCTTAACTTGTCTGTCTCCACCAGTGGACTGGGATTTTTTGTAGAGCAGAATTTATTTTATCTCTAGCATTTAACAGTACATTGTATATGCCTACAAACCGATCACTGAATGAATATAAGTCATTTGTTTGACTCTTTTATTTGATGCATAGATATTCTTGCAACATCCCAGATAATAGGTTAGCCAGCCTCTGCTTGTTTGCTTCCAGTGGGCTTCTTAAGGTAGTTACCCCTGACTTTTTGACAACTCTGGTTATAGTATACTTTTTTGCCCTTGCTAATTGTAAGTTCTTCTTCATTGATCTGAAATCTATTACTTGATAAATTATGCACTTTTGTCTTTTTTACTTTTGGGAAATAAGAAGGAAAAACAAATTCTTTAGATAAAAGAGATAACTTTATAAATCTGAAGGAACATAGAAAATCATCAGATTTATTCTCCTTAGTTTGCAGATGAGATTCAGTGAGATTGGAGTTTTGTCTGAGGGACAGTCACAAGAGTGTAATCCCAGATCATATACATCATTGGCTGGGTCTTCTGGGCCTTCTACTTTATCCTCAAATGACTGAAGTAAACTATTTGACCTCCTCTAAGTCTTTCCAAGATGTTTTCATGTTCTGACCTAAAAGAAATATTCTGGTCTAATAAGTTTAAGAAAATATTTAAGTTTAATCAGGTTTTTTAAATGTAATACTTCTCAGGGACTTTTATACATTAATGTACCCTGTGACTTTTTAAGGGATGGTTCTAGTATTTTTTAGTAATATAAATTAATATTTCAAGGAATTAATTTTCAAATAATACACTTTGGAAATTGTGGCTCTATTCTAAACATACTCCATTTTTCCAGGTGTTCTTTCGATGAAGTAATTTGCAGACATTCCATGACTAATCTTGGCATGTTCAGAACTATATAGGAAACTGTATGCAGACATAGAAGAACACTAATAAAGGCCCACTAAAATATTGGAAAAGCCCCTCTAACTATAATTTCACACTCTGTAGCCATCTGGGATTCTATCATTTAGTTATTCACTTGGTCAAATAAAGATTTTCTTTTTTAATACTTAAAAACAGTGAGATCAACGTCTTCTTTTTTCTCTCAAATTTATGAAATTATAATTGGAGTACACTAATTATACACATGTATACAATTTGATTGGTTTTGATATATACATATATACACACATACACAATAGTGGAACTCTCATCAAAAGTTAGATGATAAATATTTTTATTATCACAGAAAATTTTTGTGCTCTTTTATAATGTATCTTGCCCTCTACTCCTCCTAATAACTGATCTGCTTTCTGTCACTGAGGAATAGTATAAATTTTCTGGAATGTTATATACAAAGAATCATAGAGTTTGTACTTTTTCAGGGCTGGGGTGATTTAACTTCTTTTATTCAGTCTAACAATTTTGTGGTTCATGTATATTGTTGCTTAAATATCAATAGTTTATATTTTTTTATTGCTGATTAATTTTCCAGGTACAGATAAGTACCACAATTGTTTATTCATTAATCTGTTGATGAAGATCAGAGTTGTTTATAGACTTTGACTGTTAAAAATAAATAGCTATGAACATTCTTAAACAAGTCTTTGCATGGATATATGTTTGTTTCTTTTGGGTAAACATTTGGAAATGCAATGGCTGGGTTAATTTGCAGGCATGCTATTTTTCCAAAATAGTGTTTTTTTCATGCTGCTAGCTCTTTAGAGTGAACTAGACTAGTTATCTTGCTCATCTCTTACAACTAGGAAGTAAGCACTCACAGTAGGAAATGGAAAAATCAATGGGAAAGGAAGTACTCTGGGAAGGAAGTGCAGAGAAGAAATGATTTGGATTAGGTACATTAGGGAAGGACACCTTTTATTAGGCTTCTAAAACTGTCTACTGGGAAAGTGAGGAGGTGCGAGTACTCAAGTGCTAAGAACCCATAGACTAATTTTCTTATTTTTCATGTAGTGCTTTATAAGTGAAATTTGTTTCTATTGTACTGAGATTTCGAATGTTGTTATTTTCCAGTGATTCTAACTCTGGAATCCTAATTACACACACCTGTGTTGCTCTTGCATTGTACCCAAGGTGTCTGCTTCTGCTGGTGGCTAATAGTCCATGACAGCCCTTCTCTTTCATAGTAGGTTTCTTGACAAGAAAATAAGCAGAGAAACGTCACTTTTCCGGATGGAATTGTCCCAATAGCTTTTCTTTGTAGTCTGATTTAAGATGATCTCAGATGGCTATTCAGGACTTACTGTTGCTTATGAGAGTAAACAAATGTAACTTATTAACAGTATATATAATTTTATAATAACACAATACTAAAGGAAACCATTGATACCTTAGCTGTTTAGGATATTGTTTTACAGTTAGCTATTCATTTTGGACATGCTATATATGCTAATGCTGGATTTGTAGCAATCTATCCTGTCATTATAATTTTGACAATATCTTTGCACATTTTCTTCTTTAAAAAAAAATGAAACTTTATGCCATAGCTGAAGCACGGATTTCAACATATTTTCATACTGAGAAAAAATATGTCTGCAGTATTTTTAAAACATCAATATTGTAGTTTATTCTAGAAATCTACAATTTTTGTTCTGTGTTTTGTGGTTGTGAAAACACTTTAGGCTTTATTTTTTGTTTACAATTATGCTAGGTAGTGAAGTCTAAAAGCAGTTAATTGAAATTGAAACTGAAGGCACTACTTAGTCTCATAAGAGGAAGGAGAGCATAAGGGAGATTTAGTACTATGGTGGCTAAAACCAAAACAGAAAGGGTGCTGAATGTTAACCCTGTCCTGTTGCATTAATTACTGATATTTAGTATACACCTCTAGAAGTAAGTACATATTTGCCATTCTGAGTAGAATATTTGGGAAATAAAAAAAGGAATCTTCTGTAAAATAGATAAAAGACCCTGATTTGTCTGAAAGACTTTGAAACTGTGCTGATTTTAATAAGTTCTGGTGTTCTGTTCTATACCACTGTAGAATGACTATAGTAAACAATAATGTGTTGTATACTTTCAAATAGCTAGAAGAAGGGCATTGAATGTTCCCAACACAAAGTAATAATAAATGTTTGAGATGATGGATGTATATTCTAATTACTCTGATCTGATCACTTTTACTTTATATGTATGGAAACATCATCATGTACTGCATAAATATGTACATTTATTATCTGTCAATTAAAAATGAGTTTAAAAAATAAAAAAGTAAAAGGCTTGTTTGAGGGAGAACATACATGTAGATATGGGATTTGAATTAGGCTTCCCACAGAACAGCATAGTATTTTGGATTCTAATGTAATCATTGTTTATACTTTTTTCTCACTATTATTTAAGTAAAAACGTACTTGTGTACATTTTTATAGTTCCTGGCCTGACAGGGGTCTGCATGGTAGTGGTGCTGTTCCTCATGATTACAGCCTCTACATATGCAATAAGGTAAGTGTCAGAGTCAATTATTTTGATGTTTATCTGTCAGGTTATTTAGAAAAAGTCTTGAGTAATCAAAGTGTTTAACCACTGTAGTGTCCTGGTTAATGGACTGTTCTGGGTAAGTAAGAGTGAAGTATAGCTGTTTCTATACATGACTTCTTGTTTCTGAAAATTCTCTTCGTATTAGCAGATTTTCTGGATTGGTAAGAAATTGTGTATGGAGATTGCATTTGATGACCAAAAGAAATACAGTTCTTCAGAATTTGAGTATCTTTCTGAAGGGTAGTGTATCTCTATGGGGCATGGGATTGAAAGCAATGTGTACAAACAGGGACCTTAGGAATTCCTAGGAATATGTGACTTAAAATTATTTTAAAGCTATTTTCCTGATATGAGTTTGTCTTGCTGTAAATTAACATGATGTTCTATACAAAACTTTGGAGAAATTTATTGTTGGTTTGCATCTGCTAAAATAACAAATTATCTGCATTCATATTGATTCTTATCGTTAAGAGATTTTGAGCAAAATCAGATGTACATTATCAGGAGCACTTTCACATGTCATTTCTGATGAACACATTTAATTTTTCAGAATATTTATAGTGTCGATGTTTCTGAATAAACTTTTTAGTTAAAGAAAGCGGAAAAAGGAATGTAACATGCATTTCCTCTAATCTTCAAAAATCTCCAATTGTTCTACTTGTTGAGATGTGAAATTCAATAGAAACACAGAAATATATCTATATATATGTATGTAAGCTTTGAAAATAATTGCCAAATAATATACTTAAATGAATCTGTCCTTATACTTTTTAACATTTGTGCACACCCCCCCAAATTTCACAAGTCTACTCACTACGCAAAGATTAATACTGTGCATATGTAGTATATTTTTATAGATTAAATCCTTCTTGCTCTTGTTCACTAATTCCCCTCCTCCTACCCCCAAATAATTTTTTCTCTCTTATATACCTATGTATTTTACCAAAACAGGACCATATTCGAATATTGCTTTTAATTTACTTTTTACCTAAATTTATATTATGAATGTTTTTTACATTAATAAATATTTTGTTATTATTCTCTTTACCGATGGCACAGCACATCGCCAAATAGGTCTTTATACATTATTTTCCCAGATCCATATTACTAAATGTTTTGGGTAGATTTGGGTTTTTTTTTTTTTTTTTTTTGTATTTCAATTTTGAAACAAACACCCCCATCCATATGTCTTTGCATGCTTTTTCAATGATTTCCTAAGGAAAAATTCTTAGATGTAGTATAGCTGAGTCAAATTGTAAGAACACTTTTAAAGCTTTTCGTAAGAATGAAAACTTGGTTTACAGAAAGGCAACTCACTAACATTAGTATGTGAGGGTGCCAATTTTGTGGGGAGCAGTTTTATTTTATTTAGATAGAGGAATCATTAAAAACTATTTGTTTTTCAATTTTAGGAGTTCTTGAAGGAAAATTAGAGCATCTGACATATTTATTTTAAAATCCTTGAGATACAGTTTTATCAAATGAAATGGAAAGATCAGCTTCTATTGTGAACTGAGATTTTGAATTTGCTCTCATAAGCAATTTAAGCACTTCTTAATCTTCAGAGGTTTTATGCTTTAAAACTTGTTTAAACAAGATTATAACACTTAGTTTGCTTTTCTGTAAGTATTATTGTTAGAATCATGATATTCTTAAATGAATCATGGAGACAGATATCTCTTTTATTTTACCTTTTCTTTTTACCAGTAAGAAACTAAAGCATTAGACAAATGAAGTGAATAAATAAGCCTGCAATGTTTGATTTCTGATAGTGAAATGTAGCCTCCTAATTCAAGGAGAGTTCAATATGGGTCAATCTATTAAAATAATTAATGTATCTTATTATCAGATGACAGGAATACATTTTCTCATCTCAATTGATTTTAAAATGGCAGTTACTAATATGAACTCAAATTTTGACTTAAAATACTCAGAGTAAATAAACTAAAAATTAAAATTATTTCCATCGTAGAATTAAAAAATATAAAAGCCAGAATTATGGTTATACTCAACAGTGAAATACTAGATGTATTCCTAAGAAAATCAGGAAAAAACCAGAAGTATTTTTAATTCTACCAATATTTACATACAGTAAAAAATGAAACATTTGGAATTATTAGAAAAAATGCAACAATAAATTATTTTCTTTATTTCCAGAAAAGTAGATATAATATCTACGTTTGGTAATTATTTTGGTAATTATTAGGTTTCTAAGAAAATTGAAGAGAATTATGGAAAAATTTGGTGTTAACACCAAGTAAAAGAGTTGAAAAAGGTAATTGAATATAAAACAAATATAAAAATAATCCTTCTGTCTGTTAACTATAATTAGTTTGAAAAAATGAATAAAATAAAAATAAACTACTCACAATTGCAGCAAAACACATAGTATCTGGAGACAAAAGAAGTATGTTCACTGAGAGAAATATGTAGAGATTTAAATAAAGGCTGTATACTATAAAGATATAGTTCTTATTTATATTATGATTATTTTTTTGAGACAGGATCTTTCTCTCTCATCCAGGCTAGAATACTGTGGTAAGATTACAGCTCACTGAAGCCCCAACCTTGACTTCCTAGGCTTAAGTGATCCTCCCCCTTCAGCCTCCTTAGTAGTCAGGATCACGGGCACACACTACCTTGCCTAATTTTATTTTTATTTTATTTTACATTTTTTTTGTAAAGACAAGGTCTCAATATGTTGTCCAGGCTGGTCTCGAACACCTGGGCTCAAGTACTCCTTCCACCTCTGCCTCTTAAAGTGTTGGATTACAGGCATTAGCCACCATGCCTGACCCCTCGATTTATTTTATTTTATTTTATTTTATTTTATTTTATTTTATTTTATTTTATTTTCCTCGATTTATTTTATTTTGGTTTATTTTTAGTCGACGGACGGACGCTTATTTTATTTTATTTTATTTTATTTTATTTTATTTTATTTTATTTTGGGGTGTTGCAATTCAATAACATTCTCAGACAGGGTATTTTGTTTGTTTTTTTAATTTAGCAAAGTGATTCCAAAGTTTGTCTGGGGCACATCCAAGTACATATTTCAAAAGAGGAGTAAAAGGAGGGATGTGCCTTACTGAACATTAAAATGATTAAACTTCAGCAACTTAAAAGAGAGTGGGACTTACTTGCAAAAATGACCAACACATTGAACCAAGGGACAAAGTCAGTAAAAAGCCCTGAAAATGACCTTGCTATATATAAGAACCTGCTAGATAATAAAGGTGGCATTACAAGCTTATGAGGAAAGTCAAGTTTAATGTAGGTCTAATATGTGTAACAAATTACACATATTAATTTAAAATACTCTATATAAATGGGTAATGATTATGAACAGAAAGGTCACAGAAGAATTAAAAGTGAGTAACACACATGTGAAGTAATACCCCATCCTACTTATAATAAATAATGAAAACTTACAAAATTTGGTCTGAGTTTTGGGAAACAGGCATTCGTAGCCTACGGTTGGGTTTGTAATTAATAAATGTATTTTTAGAGGGCAATGGGCAGTGTGTATTAAAAGCATTAGAAAAGTGTATCCCTTAATCTTGCAATTCACATTATAATGGTTTGGATTTAAGAAAGGATCAGAGGGCCAAGCACGGTGGCTCACACCTGTAATCCCAGCACTTTGGGCAGCTGAGGCAGTTGGATCACGAGGTCAGGAGTTCGAGACCAGTCTGGCCGACATGGTGAAACCTTATCTCTACTAAAAATACAAATATTAGCTGGGCATGGTGGCGAGCGCCTGTAATCCCAGCTACTCCGGAGGCTGAGGCAGGAAAATTGCTTGAAACTGGAAAGTGGAGGTTGCAGTGAGCTGAGATTGTACCACTGCACTCCACCTTGGGCAACAGAGCAAGACTGCATCTCGGGGAAAAAAAAAAAAAAAATTAAAAAAAAAATCAGAACTTTGTATATGTTACAAGGCATGGTAATGATATTGTTTATGATAGCAAATACTATGAGTAGAGTAAATGTAAAGCAATTGCCTGCTGCTTAAATAAGGGTTTCTCTAAGAGTCTATGGGAAGCATCATATTCATCTAGGAAGCTTTTGTAAATATTTGACCTCTACTTCCAAGATTCTAATGTATAAAATCCACCCTGGACATATGAAATAAAATAACTGTTACTCTTTTATTTCTCTCAAATGTTCTGTAGATTATGCTTGACATTCCCTGTCTTTTCAGTGTCTTTGTCCTTCCTCAGAGCAATAACATCGAGGTATCATTCTGGTTACACTGTCCAGGAAAAGAATATAACACTTTGGTCATGATTTATTTTAATTTCTCTCTTTTTGAGTTTCCCTTGAACTACTCTCAAAATATGTATTGAAAGAGGAGCATTGGTTATTTTGGAAATTATTTGAAAATTGACAATATTGATAAAATAATAGCCAAGGTACATATTAGCAGACTACTATCTGCTTCTTAGCCTTATATCATAAATCTTGAAAATAAATAGCTTATTTTTTTATTATTTCCATGTGTCTTTATTTGAAATACAAATAACTTACAAAATGTAAATTCTTACTCATATTTTTTGTCAGTTCTCTCTGTATGGTGTGTTAATACTTTGGTATTAGTAGATGAAAATCAGACATACTCATATTTTAGCTTTCTTAAATTGTGAGATATGTTTGAAAGTATACATGATATTTTGATATTTTTAGAAAGATGGAATCTAAAGTAGCATTAAAATGAATGTATTTGTTTTGCAGAGTTTCTAACTATGATATCTTCTGGTATACTCATAACCTTTTCTTTGTCTTCTACATGCTGCTGATGTTGCATGTTTCAGGGTAAGTTTACAAATATATGTATTTAAAACCATTTGTACCCCGAAATGGGGTAATGAAAGACAACTCTATAGGAAATTTCATAGGAAGTGTAAAAATGTCAAGAGTGGAAGAAATAGTTTCTCCACTATTGGGGATAGTGTCAAGAGTGGAACTGAGAATAGTGTCAAGAATGGAAGACGTAATTCTATTTTTAGCATAGCATATTGTAATGAAACCAGTATAAAGTATATTACCTTTAAAAGCAATAATTACCTCTCCCACAACCTTTTAGTTTCTAAATCTTCCTATGGATATATCTTAGTATCTTCTAAAGGAAAAAATTTAAGAATGGAGAACATCAGGAATATATTTTAGTATTTGTATTTCCTGAAACTGTCCTGCTAAAGCAAGATTTATAACAATGGAATTTTCAGTTTTTCATTTTAAAAGTTCTACAGGAAGTAATACTTGCAGAGAGAGTCAAAGATTTAAAGTAACCAAAGAAAAGGATCTGTCAAAATCACCAAAGGAAAAAAAATTCATAAAGTGGAAAAATAATGTATCCTAAGCTTATTACAGAGTATACATAACATATTCTGAAAGTATGTGTATCCAAGCAGGATACTCAAAAGCATGGTGCTTAAAAGAATACATGAAGATAGATGAAGAAAATAATGTATTTTTGTACATGTGTATGTCTGTATGGCCACCAACAGTGAACGTGGTGGCTTTGGCGTGACATTCACACTTGCATGACATAATAGGTCTGGCAACAGGTTTACTTGGTTTAGCAGGATACAGGGAAGGACACACAGAATGTCAACAGGATAATGTCTGGTGCTTATTCAGTAGGAGTCCCTATAGTTGCTCAGGAAGCATTTATCCCCACTCCTTCATGTAGCAGCTCTGTTTTAAGATGAGGAACCCGTGTGGGTAGGCATGGTCTACCTTGCATTGGGTAAGGCTCATTCCTACTCCACAGGAACCTGTATCTTGGGAGCAGCATAAGTCCCCTCAAGGGATGCCCTTGGGATCAAGAACACACTGTACACAAGGAGGCTGAGGTCCGTGAGGCCCAAAATGGTTTCATAGTTCAATCACAGTCCTTTCCGTCCAGATGCATTTCACTGATAATAAACAATGTTGCTGTTAACACAGCTGACATTCCCTGTTTTTCTTAGCCTGAAATATTTCCAGGGAAACAGTTTGAAGAAAAGTTCAGACTTTTGTTTAGTTCCTTCTTCAGAATGTTTTATAATGTAATTTATCAGTACAGTGGGTCATTTACATTGATCAGATATTTATTTCAGGGTACATATTCAAAATGTTGCTTTGGATATTTTCCCCTGATTTTGGAGACTGCTGGTTAAGACAGCAGTATCAAATGGATTTACCCCATATGTCCTGGTTAGCTTTGTTCAGTACCAAGGTTCTAGAACACATAGTTGTAGAGCACTGGAAACATGGCCACACATTATAATTAATTCTCTGGAGCCTCAGGGCACCAAGAAAGCTCTTGGTAGAGAAAAGTCTGCTTTACATTCTGCTCTTTAAATGGAATTGGTTATCTGTCCAGGGCTATGCTCCTTAAGAGAAGTATGAATAACAAGACACTACTAATGATAATAAAAGTAATCTAAAATAGTTACATAATGCTTACTATATACTAAGTATAAATTCAAAATGCTTCAGATACTTTATGTTATTAAGTGCTCAGAATTTTATGAGAATAATATTGTTAAACCTCTTTCAGAGGTGGGAACACTAATGTTTAGAAAGATTAAGTAGCTTGTTGAAGTTTCCTTAACTGATGGATCCTAGATTCAAACCTAGGCATTCTGATTCAGAAACTCCTAAGTTTTTACGACAAGGCTCTATTTTTTTGGTGAAGTTGGTACTTCTGAGAATTTGATCTTAGTATTTGTTTAAATACCTTTATCTTGTCTTCTTTGAGATTGCGGTCTGTCTATTCATCTATGTATCTATATCAGATAGATATAGAAAAGAAAAATGCAGTCATTTATTAGTATAATTATATATGCTTTTGCCTTTATGTTTTACTAAATTAAAACTCTGAAAAAAATCTATTTCTTTGTAAATCAAAATAGTGTCAATTTTTTTAAAAGATCAGCAGTTCAAACAGACTTCTTTTTAAAGAGGAGGATTACATTGAGAGTTCTTTACTTCTTTGGAAGTAAAAGGAATGCATATTTAAATTTTGATTTTACTTTTGTAGAACAAGGGCCACAGAGAGAAAGTGACTTTAATTTATACAGAAAAACAGTAGGTGTCTATAGGACTAATTATATATAATCAATCATTAAACTAAATTAATAAGTATTTATTATAGGTAGTAATGAAGAAAGCAATTATTCTAATTTTGAATCATGTCATATAACCCATACATAATACAATAAGCATTCTACAGTGCACATTCTTTCCAGGAAATTTAATATTTAAAAAAGCAACATAGATATGCATCTAGTATGAGAAATGTTACTACTGATAACATTTTACAATTTTCTCAAAAAAATACTCTATATTGATGAAGAATTGGCTTATAATCAAGTCTATTTAAGTTATTTGTGCAAATGTTGGAAACAGACATATCTTTACTTCTGAAATACCTAGGTAACTTTGTTCTTCAACTTTTGGTTATCCAAATAAAGTACAGTTGTTCAAAGTAAATTTCTTGGATTTGTATTGAAATTTCTGTTCAACAGTATGCTTTAGGTCTGAACAGAAAATCACTATTTGCTTAGCATTAACTTCTGTGTCCATCAATGTGGTAAGTACCATAAGGTAAAGAAGAGCAATATATTGCATGATCTCTATTCATCCAGCATTGATCATTGACTTGGAATTTTGAAAAATCAATTGGAAAAGCTAGAAATATTATAAAACTGCATATTTTTAAAATGTAAACATTCATGTGTTATTTACATGAATACTAGCAATTCAGAGAATTATCAGTGTGGGCTAGAGATTTTAGAAAATAATAGGCTTAAAAGATGAGGTGATTAGACGTTGTTGACTGGTTTTCTACCTAAGCAGACTTTTACAGTAAGAGAAATTGCCTCATATGATTTTCTAAGGTCATTTTTTTCATAGAATCCTAAATTTTAGGGAAATTTAAAAGATATCTTGATCAAACCTCTTTTAAGCTCCTCTACAATAATGTCTACTAAGTCAATGCCTAATTTTGAAGATGTCCATTCTGACTTAGGGAAAGTTCTAATTCTCACAGTGTTCTTTCTTTTTTGGTTGGAATTATTTTACCGTAATTTCTGTCTAGCTATTAAAAGTCTGTGATTCTAGAGGCCATGGAAGTTAAGTTGCCCACTTTCCTACATTCTATTCATCTGTTTCTTACATTGTGATATTTTAGATCTTAATTTTCTGAACTGTCTCTTTGAATATATTAACAATTAATATTAATTGAATGCTTCTCTTTTATCTTACTAACATTTGCTCTCATTAAATCCTCCTAACAACCTGTAAAATTATTATTATTATTGTTATTACTATTATTCTCAATGTTCAGCTGAGAAAACAGGAGCAGTGAGAGATGAGTTGATGAGGGTCGTGGCTAGTAAGTAGATTTCTAGTTTGAATCCAGGTATCAGATACCAAAACTGACATTCTTAACCACTAAGTTATGTGGCCCCCATTTGGCAACACTTCTTCGTATCCCTTTTAAAACTGTAAACCAAACTAAAAGTTCTTCGAGTATGTGATCTGATTTTGGCAGAGTGAAAGTCTCACTTTCTTGACTACAAATATTGTAATCAGTATTATTTAGGACCCAAATTTTTTGTTCCATGATTATCTGTGTCCTTGTCTTAACCTGGTTTTCATTTTTGTTGTGTATTTTAGCAATTCTCTTCATTTTTTATAAATAAATCTGTTGCATGCCACCCTGAAAAGATGACATTTCATGTACACTAAACTCAGATGTTTCTTTTTAGTTTTAAAATGCATCTTTAAAATACATTAATTTTCTTCTCCAAGATGTTAGTATAACGTAGAGATTAAAAGGGGATACATCACTTAATACCCGTATGAACTTGGCAGATAATTTGTCCTTGCTTTTTGTTAGCAATTAAATGGGATTAATAAAATCACTTATATCATAGTGTTGTCTTGGGTTTAAGTAAGGTAATGCAGCAAAGTAGGTAGAATATAGACATATGCAATAAATGTTAGCAAGAACAAATTATACCAGTACCAATACTAATAGCTTTGTAAGAATGACACTCCACATTTAACTTTGAAAAACCATATTTTTTGATAAAGACACAACACTTCTGAAAAGTCCAGATTTTCTTATCAGTAAAGTAATTTGATGAACATTTAGTGAAAACTGCTTAGCAGCTCAAAGGAATATTCCTTGATATGGCAACAATTATAATATTCTAAGGTCTCTAAAATTCTATTGATTTTTAGCAATAAAGGTTTATCTTTACAAAACAAGCCTTCCTCCTGAGGAATTTTTTGTTTTAATTTTTAATATACTTTTTTAGGAGGTTGCTGTTGGTGTACTGCATTAAAGATATTCAATTCCTAAGATACCTGGTGAAAATAAAGCAAAACAAAACCATTTCCTCTTTCCAAATATGTATAGAACTGGATATTTCTTTCCTCATTTTCTTTTGAAAAACTCATTAGAAGGAGATGCATACTGCTATTCTCGCTTACTGATAAAAAGGATATTGGAGGAAAATAAATTATGAATGTCACAGAGCCTCTGCTTAAGAGCCTAACCCAGCTCCTTTCAAAGAAATGTGGAGGGAATGCATTGTAAGTGAGATTTGGCACCTTAATGTCTGCAATCTTACCATAGTCAACACTCCCACTGGCTTTAGCTTGGAGAGTGCTGTGTGGGTGGTGATTGTATTTTAGGTCTTTCTTTGAGTGAGAGAGACTATAATGTGATAATTCTGGAAATGATAGAGGGGAAAGTCCTCCTCCAATGTTTGGATGGCAATGACAGCACATTAATAGTGTAAATATTTGTTGTG